CTTGTATAGTGACAATAAAGACATCTATCTATCTATCTATCTATCTATCTATCAACATAGTCTCCCTCATTTATTGAAGGAGCTTTAATAGGAATGTAGGTGCCATCAATGCACCCAATAATGAATGAATGAATGAATGAATGAATGCCTTTTATTGTCACTATACATGTATTACATGTATTCCAAATTACATTTGGAAACCCTGAAATAGAAAGTCATATATGGAAGTATCAAGTGTGTGTGTGTGCAGGATGAATACATGTATAGATATAAATAATATGACTACATATTAAATATGCATCATAGATTTTACTACAAAGGACAAACCTGCCACTCTGTGGAATTCCTCTTTAATAACACGCAGAGCTTTATGGACAGGAAACTGTACAAACGTGTGTAAGAAGCGTTAAGTACCAGACATACCCTCTAGAATGTTGCTACACCACTGAAGACATTTTTCTGTGAAATATTTTTGGATTTGGACAATATTTATGGTATGCTCAAGTCATTTGCGTTTTATAATGTATGAAAATCTAATTTTCGGTTACTTTTTTTTTGTATTTAGTCACTGTCAGCTTACTTATTTATTATTTATTTTGTAGACCTTAGTGATGTGATCCTGATGTCAATTCCTGTTGCCATTTTATAATAAGCAAGTGCCTTGAAATATTGTATTGTTGGTTAAGTTTCAGCTCACAGTTGCAGTATATCATTGCATTTCAAATATTGTTGCTGTTAGTTGCTGTTGCACTGCACTGTTGCAGTTGTTGGACAGCTAATTTCATTGGTCAATTTAAGGTGAGTACTAGTAGTATTAGTTTCTTTGCTATATTCTGTTATTTGGGAATATGCATATGTGCTAAACTAAAGTAATACAGTATTTGCTCAATAGCTCATGTTGTAATGTACAGTACACCAAGTGTATAAATGTAAATTTAAACAGAAAAATATATCAAATTACCTAGAATCCTCCACTCACCATAAATGTTGTATTATTTTGTTTGAAAGGTATGGCTACTGGAAGTCGGAGCAAAGATGGTGTTTACCTTCTGGGTCATATGAAGGACAGTCTGGTTGGAGCCAAATTGCCATCAGGTGATGTCATACAACTTTATCTACATAAACTCAAGACTTGTGCTAAAACAAAACATGAGGCTGCATCTCAGACTATACATGAAGTGGAACCATTCTGGCACAAGGCAAGAATACCAATGAGACCTCGTCACCATGCTATTGAACAGCTGGAAAATTTGATGTCCAAGTGGGAAAGGCTAAAGAAAAACCAAGGACATCGAACTGAAACGCAGACAGCAAATGAAGAAGGCATTACAGAGACATTCTGTGATTTATTTGACATTGCTCACCAGGGTGCATTGTCATTAATTAAAGTTGAAGAAGACAAAGCCTTTCTGCTTGCACAATGTGAAAAAGGCTGAAAGAGTGTCATGGCAGGCATGGATGCATCATTGGTAAATAAAGAAGCAGAACTGATGCATAAACTGGATAAACGCTGTAAGTGGGAAGAAAAACAGAAAGCAGAACTAGGTTTGTTGAACCAAAGTATTGCACTCTCCTCAAGTGACTCTGAATCTTCAGATTCAACAGAAACAGTTTGGACATGCAGCTGTAGAAAACAAAATAACCCGAAAGAGGGGAAGAAAAAGTGTACTGACTGCTGATGTTGTAGCATCACTTGACCACACCAAAACAAGTTCTCGCAGTGCAGTGCACACACTCTCCACTACTGTTCATGCTTATGGGCAGAAAGTCGACGACTTCGATATCAACTGCTCTTCCATTCAGCGTGCACGCCAAAAGCATCGTTTACTCAGAGCAAGTGAACTGAAGGCAAGCTTTGACCCACAGAAACCATTGACACTTCATTTTGATGGCAAGCTCATGATGGATTTAACTGGTGATCAAAAAGTGGACCGCCTTCCAATCAATGTGTGTGGGTCTGGAGTTGATCAACTTCTTTGCATTCCCAAACTGAGTGCTAGCACTGGTGAAGCAATGGCTAATGCAATGCTGGAAGCTGTCGAGTCATGGGGAATCAAAGTTCGTATAAAAGCACTCATTTTTGATACCACATCGAGCAATACTGGGTGAAAAAATGGTGCCTGCATGTTGTTTGAAGGCAAGATAAATTTAGACCTGCTGTATTTGGCTTGCCGTCATCACATTCACAAAATAATGCTAGAAGAAGAATTTGTAGGAGCTATGGGTCCATCAAGTGGTCTAGAAATTGGACTTTTCAAACGTTTCAAGTCATTTTGGCCTAGTTTAGTTCACAATGACTACAAGGCAGGAATTGACGACCCACAAGTAGCAGCAGCAGTGCACGACTTCCAAGCAGAAGTAAATTTCTCAGTTGCAGACTGCACAACCCCGTGACGACTACAGAGAACTACTTGAACTAGCTATTGTGTTTCTGGGTGCTGTGCCTCCCCGTGGTGTTCATATTACCAAACCTGGTGCATTGCATCGAGCTTGCTTCATGGCCAAGCTGATATATGCATACAAGATATTCATGTTTCGACATTCTGACTTCAAGCTTACCAACCGTGAACAAAAAGGCTTGGCAGAACTCTGCATATTTGACTTTCATGTCTACCTGAAATTCTGGTTCTTGTCTCGGCTTCCAACCAATGCTCCAGCAAATGATCTGAAGCTGCTGAAAATACTCTCACTCAACTCACAAGCAGCAAAAGGTGCCCTAAAGAAGCTCTGAGTCCACCTCTGGTACCTTAGTGAACAGTTGATTGCACTGTCATTCTTTGACAGAGATGTTCATGTCCTGGAGAAAAAGTTGATGGTTTCAGCACTTCAAAAACCAGCATCTGAAGATCCACCAAAACGAATAACAGTTGACCAAGATCAATGAAATGCAGTTACATGACTTTGTGACAGTGAATTCAAAGAAGTTTTTTGACCTGTTGTCAATTCCAGACTCATTTCTTCAAAATGATCCTGAGACTTCGATAACCAACGATGACTATTTGAAGGCTGAAACTGTATGGGCGCTGCAGGTGACAAATGTCACTGCAGAGAGAGGCATCGCTATGATACAGGAAGACAGTGGTTTACTGACAAATAGTGAAGAACAAACACAGTTTGTTTTACAAGTTGTTGCTGAGCATCGAAAGCTTTTCCCTGACAGTAACAAGATGACTGTACTTCATGGACTTGCTGCATCTACGAGAAAACCATCAACCCTTGCATGAATGACGATTATGATGTCGATTACTTTAGTTAACACTAGTTAATACTACCTCAGATTTCTGGTTTTTACATGGATAGAAATGTAGCCTGACTTGTAATAAGTTGCACAATGTAGCAATGACTTTACAGAACAGTTGTTTGTTAGTGACATTTGAATTTACCATTGCCTACTAATCGGGTTTTCGAGAAAAATTGAATATTTCAGAATGCTTGAGCACACCCTAAATGTCAATTAAACTAAATAAATTTTTGCGCATTTCTTTTTTTTGAGTGGAGACTTGATTGAGAGGGTGAGAGGTTGAAAAATCCAAGGCTGAAAAATAAGGGTCACCCTAATGCAGGACTTGTGTCTGTTCTTCCCAAGACAAACTGATGCTGCATTGGTCGCAAAAGGAAGTACTACACCATACTAATAAATTATTGTGGTGTAAAACCAGGTGTTTCAGTTTCGTTGTTCAACCCCTATATATAATATTCCTTCATTAAAGTTTTGGTCGTGATGTTGCACAGATTCCCAGAATTCAGAGCTAAATTCAGAACATTCAGTTAGTGTCTCAAAGGGAAGCTTTCAACAATTGCATACCTAGGACAAAAAGATCATAATTTGTAGTATCACAGTCACAGGGCACCTGAAGCTTATCCCAGGAAGGCACAATGCCTGGGGCATGTTGGATGTGTCACCAGAACAATGCAGGGCTCACACACATACAAAAACAATATTTTCAGTGAATGCTAGTCATAAATTATTTTTGATGTGGTGTAACCCAGGCTACTGTGGGCTCTGCCAAAAACAGATATTGATAAACTGCTTTAACAATGTATATATAAAGTGATGCTCCCTTAGTATCATAATAAGTGGCTAACTAATTCTTTTTTTACTTCTGAGACTGCACAGCACTTTCAAGGAGAAACCCAACTGACTTCAGCAGTCCTCAGGTTTGTCATTATTTTCAGCTCTGCCCTCCCGACCTCTTTGGGGAATTCAGTGTAGGAATTTACATATTTTCACTATATAGAAAATACTGGTTAAATTTATCTTTAATTTAAAATGTTTTTTATAAAGCGCTAAATATCAAAAACACACTGATTTTACTATCAACCTGCCAATATGATATAGTAGCACACTGTTACTACTCTGCACTACTGCTAATATAGGTCAATACTAGAAAGATGACTGAAATTAATTAATAAGCAGGATCAAGAAGAATACAAAATTAGTTAGAACGACACGCAAGCAATTTGCTGTAACTACAAATCTGCATTAAGAATCAGGCCTTTCAATAAGATGATTGCAAATTCATTATATTCTTGGCTTTAAAGTGTTTGAACATTAGCAACTCACCCCATCGAAATTCTGACCAGCACTGGCAAAAGTCCACCTAAAATGAGAGAAAGTGTAATTTGTGTTTTTGTATTTAGCCACAGGTGTGTGCTTTTTGTGCTTCAGATGGACCCAAATGACAGCATCCAGCAGTGATATAAGCATCAGGTTACATTCCTTACTTTTAAAATCAGTGTGTGTATATGAGAAAGTTGCGTATGTTTAATTTGTTGAATATAAGGAAACATGCGTTCACAAAGAAACATGCTTAAAAGACCTGGGGGAAAGAAGGAAAAGTTGGAAAAACTCACCAGTAGAGGAAGTAATAACAGAGAAGCCTGTAGGTAAGGAGCTTCATGTGTGCTGTTCAAGGTGCGCCCTGGCAGCAGAGACCGGTACACCCTTGCCCGGTTGTGGCACGCTCACTGCCGCTGGGCCGCTTCGCTTTTAGCACAGTTTATGCTGTCTCTCTTGACGTCTCCTGTGACACCTTCCCTGGATAATACACACAAAACTATTGTATCTCATACGTTTTGTAACTTCAATAAATAACTTGCCGTGTCATGAATTACCAAATAATTTTTGGTTATGAATACTGAGAGTTGAATAAGTACTTTAGTAGTAGATTCTTCTGCTACTACATCCAAAAAAATGTATGAATCATAACAATAACATTAGGAAAACCAGCCAGTAAAACTGCTGTCGCAGTCGTAACATTAACAACACTTTTTAAAAAGTGTAAAACGCATAAAAACGTTTTAAATGGAATGACATTGTTGATGACTGTAGAAAAAAAAAAACGTTTTACATATGCCATTTGCCAGCATATGTAATAGCCTAATTATCACTAAATACAGCTAGAGGATACTACCACGAAAAGATTGCAGCGCCACTACTCCTGTTAACTACGAATTAAGATATTGCAAACGAAAAAAACGAAAATAATAGCAATAAGTCAATTTTAAAACCGTTGAAACTGCACTTCATGTTTCACAACGGGCTATGATTATAAACTTAATTTGCATAATAAACTTAAAACTGCTTTTGGAATACTTTTTGAAACATATCACAATATAGACTACATAACAGATACGGAATACCTTAGCTGTTTCCAGGGTACAGGTTAATATCTGACAGTGCGATTATCCTCTACCTTTTCCAGTAACATACTTACTCGAAGATTACAATAATTCCTCACCTTTTGAATTCTGGCTGGTCCTACAGTGGTCTCATATTCAGTGGGGTAAAGAAAATATACCATATATCCAAACCTGATTTATACACGTCAGTCTCGAGATTGCTGCCGTGCAACAAAGCGCAGGAAATTCGAAGTCAAACTCACAGAAACTCTACTACGCAAGCAGGCGGTGTAACGTATTGCCCTTGTAATCTGAATAACAGATAAAGCTCCGCATGCCGTACGCGCACCATTGCATGATTTTGTACTATGTACTTTCTGAATCGACATTTACGTTGAACAATCAATATTCCATTTGTTATTTATATTTGATATTCGTTTGATATTCGGATTTGCCTCCCCTATATCTTTGAAACGACACCATCAAAAATCACAAAAGTCACACTTTCTGTTTCAGGAGAAAATGCAGATTGTACTACGACATTGTATAGTGAGTGATATGTTCATTAATTATTGTGGTGACGAGGCATTTTCTGTGAAATTAATAAGCCAGCGTTGGAAGGACCGTATACAAAGTGCATTCTGGAGAACCAAGCATTGCTACTGGAGCATTTCTGCTAAGATTTTCTAATACAAACAACTGTGAAATTGCAATAATTTCACTTTTATAGTAGACGAATTTGTTACACTTCAAAGGTTGTAGTAGATGCCAGAAATATCCAACCATGAGTTTGCAGTAATTCAATAAGTTTTTTGGAAAATTACTGTAAACCACACAAACGAATTTCACTCACTTCAAAGGTTATAGTGGTCGGCAAAGGTGATCACTTACTACAAGTGGAATTTTACAGAAATATCCAACCATGAGTTTACAGTAATTTAATACGTTTTTTTGGAAAATTACTGTAAACCACACAAATGAATTTCTCTCACTTTGTCACGCCCGGCTCGTCCGATCCTCGTGTGTGCCACGCCCCCCTCATTACCTTGTGTTAATTCCCGATTGTAATCACTGGTTACCTGTTATGTTCAGCCTGTCTTGTGTATTTTAGTCTGCGTCTGAGTTAGTTTCCCCAGATCCGTCATTGATGTTGTCTGCCGTATTGTCCTGTCCGCTCCAAATAAACCCCGTTTCCACCCGTAATCACAGCTCAACTCGCCTGCTTCCCAGCTCGCTCGCACGCAACGTAGCACACTTCAAAGGTTGTAGTGGTTGGCAAAAGTGATCACTGACAGTGATCACTGACTTTTTACTACAAATTACTGATTTGGGGAGACTTCAAATGGTTGTTCAAGGTGAGAATAGTGGGCCTAAAAGCAAAACAATAAGGGCGAAGACTGGTGGCAAATAAAATGAATGTCCAAAATGGATAAATTCGAAAAAAGTAGCGTGTCACAGAAATGACCTGGAGACAGAAATGTGGTTCAGAATCCCATATCATCAAGGAAGTTTAATTTAAGGAAGTTATGCAAATAATAATAATAATTACATAATATCAAGAATGACAACAAGTGTGGGGTGGCATGGTGTTGCAGTGGTTAGCACTGTTGCCTCGCACCTCTGGGACCTGGGTTCGAGTCTCCGCCGGGGTCACGTGTTTGTGGAGTTTGCATGTTCTCCCCGTGTCGTCGTGGGGTTTCCTCCGAGTACTCTGGTTTCCCCCCACAGTCCAAAGACATGCTGAGGCTAATTGGCATTGCTAAATTGCCCTTAGGTGTGCATGTGTGAGTGAATGGTGTGCGAGTGTGCCCTGTGATGGGCTGGCCCCCCGTCCAGGGTTGTTCCCTGCCTTGTGCCCATTGCTTCTGGGATACGCCCCAGACCCCCCGTGACCCAGTAGGATAAGCAGGTTGGACAATGGATGGATGGACGGACAATAAGTGTCACATCCCAATCGTTCCTATTCCCGCTCTGTGCCTGCAATTCGTGACAGAATGACCAGACTCAACAAGAAGACACCTCATCTTACTGAGGTGGTGTACCTCAGTCTAGTCGATGAGGTGATATACTGGCTCAGACAGTCCAGAAGGACCCCACAACTTGAGCCCTTGCTATACAGTCGAGGGATAACCTGGAAGAGATCTCCTCATCCAAAGACTCGCACCGTGTGGAGGAGGTGCGAGGAAAACCTTCTGCAGCTGAGGAGTGGAGTAGCAGAGACGATGATCAGGCAGGTATCCCTGGACTGTGGACTACCTTGTTCTCTGTTAGAACTGCCTGAACTGTCCCTGACTCTGACTAAAGCTGCAGGTAAAAAGAAGTGGAAGAATCGCGGAGAGGCAGATTCCTCAGGAATCCTGTTAAAACCCCACACGAACCCCACTTGCTTCCCAGTGGTTAAGCATGAGGCGTATCTCACGGTACAGGACTCGGCGGTGTTTGTCACACCCAGGTCGTCAGCCACCACTCCTCCCGAGTCTACGTCTGACCTCCCTGCTGCCGGTCCGCTCAGATCGGAGCTTAAAGTCTCCGCTGCTCCATCCCTGTTGGGAACCCCAGTCTCCGTTCCAGTGGTTCCCGAAATGCCTCCCGACACAGAGTCTTCTGTTCCCTGACTTCCAGTGTACTCAATCTCCTTAGCCCCAGTTCCCGAGGTTCCCATACGTGTCCCAGCTTCAGGTCCCGTGTCCGCTCCAGTTCCCATCCTGGGTCCAGTTCCCGTGTCCGTGCCAGTTTCCATCCTGGCTCCAGTTCTCGTCCCAACTCTAGACCCCATGGCCACCCCGTTTTGGAAGATCCCGGCCAGGACCCTGTCTCTTAGTCTCTTGCAGAGGGAGAGGCCACTTACACTGGGGTCAAGTCCAACCCACCTTGCCCCTGGGTTTGCCTTCAGTCCCCGTTGCTTCTGCCCAGCAGTCACTTATGGTTCCTCCGCCTCCTGCTCGGCTGTTGCCTGCAGTCCCCCTGGCTCCTGCTCGGTGGTCACCTGCGGTATCCCCTGCAGTGACTCATCGGGCATCTACGATCCAAACTGTGGTGACTCATTGGTTGCCTGCGGTTTCCCTAGCTCAGCCTCATCAGTCGCCTAAACCGTTGCCGGCTGTGGCTTCTCCTTCACCTGTGGCGACTTCAACTTCCTCCTCACCTTCTCTGGTGACCACTTCGCCTCCCTCCTTGTCTCCTCTGGCAGTCTCTTCAACTCCCTCCTCGTCCCCTCTGATGTCACCTCCACCTCCTATCTCGCGGTTGCTGAGGGTCCCTCCAGCTCCAGCCTCGTGGTTGTCAGTGACCCCGGCTGCTCCTGCCTTCCCTCCGTCTCCCAGTTTTTTCCCTCCCTTTGTGCCCCCATCCCCTGGTTTGGTTCCCCTTGCGGGTGGTTTCCCCATGTTCCCTCCTCGTCCACTTGGTTTTCCCCTGTTCCCATCTGGTTCTTGTCCTCCTTTAGTCAGTTTGCCCTCTGGTGCTGTCCCTTCGTTGTCCCCTTCCTTGATTTCTTTGGTTGTGTCCTGGTTGTTGCTGTCCTGCTTGTTCTTGGTGCATGTACAGTTTCAGTTTGCTTGTTAATGTCTTTTGGCTTTTGTTTCCCCCAGGTGCTGTGATCTGAGTTCCATTGTGTCCACTGTTTGCTCCCTTTGGTCCCTTTAGGGGGACTTGTACTAAGTCAGTCATCAGCTCTGGCAACTACTACAACCTTTGAAGTGAGAGAAATTCGTTTGTATGGTTTACAGTAATTTTCCAAAAAAACATATTGAATTACTGTAAACTCGTGGTTGGATATTCCTGAGAAATTCCACCTGTAGTAAGTCAGGGAGCACCTCTGGTGTTACGCTCGCGGTCCGACAAACAGGCAGGAAACCAGGGATCAGCGACACGGGGTTTAATTGAAGCACA